TTGTGTTTGTGTATATTGGATGAAGTGGAGAATAAATTTTCACCCTACAGACTTCCATGCATGCAAAATACAATGTTATAGTCTATCATTTTTCTTTTTCTCCATGTTTAATTTAGTATCTGTAAATCCTAGGATGTATTTACTTGACTGGAAATTAACCTAGACTATAAGCTCCCTGAGGGCAGAGACTATGTACTTAGCTCATCAAGTGAGTCCATGGCCTGGCCCCTATGAGAGGGTGAATGAATATAAATGAGTGATTAAATAAAGGCTCAGGTATTTTTGTAATGTTATAGGCAATATTCTCCATGCTGTCTATTTATTCTATTTTGGTTTATAAATGTTTTTCAAATCAGAAAATTATTCCTACCAGTATCCAGCATATGGTAATGATTTTAATAGGAATTTTGTTAGTCTTCTTTGTACATTTCAATAGTTCAATTTCTTATGCATGGTAGTGTCAAAATTAGCTCAGACAATATCCGGAGGTTTGGTAGGCACATTAAGAAGTAGCAGTGGTATGGTTTTTAAAAAATCTTTGTCAAGGTCACTAAAGGACATTTGGAGAACAAGGGAAGAAAATACTACCATAATCCCAAGGCTGAAATACAGTCACTACATATTAACATCTCAGTATGTTTCCTTCCAGGCCTCCAGGCCTCTTTTTCAGTGTGGAGCTTTGTGGCTGTGGGTGTGAAGTGATTCACCAGCCAAACTCTAGGGAGAAGGTAGAATAATGATATTTGGGAAGAGGCCTGGAGTCTATAGTCCTGCCACTGGAATGTTCCTTTTATTATTTGTATGCACCCAGCTCAAACACTGCTGCCACAAATAGTCTCCACAGCACTGCACCTCGTGACAGGGAAACCTGACCCACCCGAGGCTCAGGGATCAGAGGCCGCTGCAGGGAGCAGAGAGGCAGCTGGGTAGGGCGGGTCCTGTAAGGGGCAAGCAGAATGCCCTTAAAACAGGACCTTTTAGTACCTTTGTGAGTCATGTTCTACAAATTCAATAATTCCTAGTAACAGAAACCTAGAAAATTCTGCAACTCAAAATTATTGGCCTGACCCATGCAAATGCTATCTTGGGACAAATCTGTATGTGTCCAGAATGGTGTGGGTGGAGGGATCTTAGATGGCAAAAATAGACAATTCTCTTGGTAAATACAAGCTAGACATTTTACCACATTTTAGAATCAAGCAAAACCTTTGGTAATATTCAAAGTTTACATGAATTATGGGTATGTCAACTGTCAAAATAGCTCTATAAGTATTCAAATTCAGTTAGACAATATCCATCATATCATTAATAAGTTTTCACAAATGCCTAGGGTGCCTAACTGGTTTTCTTGGTTTCACTGGATATGGCTGGTAATTGTAGGTCTACTTTGGTTACGTAGCTGTATTCCTATTATGTTAATGTGGGCACTCAATTTAGTTAGTAATTTAAAACCTATACACGCTTATGTTACACTACAAGAAGATATGTCAAAGAAATAATCAATCTTCCCATGTTTTCTTCCATCTGCTACTTCTATAGCTTCTCTTCTTCCTTCATAATTACAACCCCTAAGTAGAATTCGTGCCTCATATAGAAATTACTGAGTATCATAATTCTTCCAAGTGGTAAAGATACCTCAAGACAAATGCTGGGCATAGAAGCCACAGGGCATAAATCTGCAAAGAAGTAAAAAGCTAACCTTTTCAAACAATATTGCCTCTCTCTCACTTACCAACTTTACATTTCCCTGTATGGCCCCAGAAGATGACTGGTTAGCCAGAGACGGGTAAGATTCCTCAAGGGAGGAACAACCTAAGACAGGCACAGTCGCAGGGGGGCCATCAGGTGAGAATTTGGGGATCAACAGAGGTGAGGCTCAGAACCTCACCCCCCCTGCTTTGAGAGAAATCTTCTGCATCCGTGGATGTCTTGCTGCCCTTGTCTAGCCTGGATTAATACTTAGTCCATAGGCACACACCTGATCATCTGATCATCTACATTTGCCCTCTTACAGCACTAAACTATGTTTTCTACCTTTATCTTGCATCTACCTACCACTCCAGCATTTTATTTAAAAAAAATAATAATAAGGGAGAAATGTGGGATTCACATATAAATCAAGTATAAAAATCAAACGAATAATCATATCTGACTTGAGTGTTGATAGTTCATGATGTGTGATCAAAACCGAAAGTTTCTGTGATATGACTGCCCTTGCACTGTTCACCATGCAAGAACTTATTCACTATGTAAGAACTTGTTCGTTATGCTTCAGAAGATTGGAGACTGTTGAGAATTAGGCTTGGGATTGATTAATGATTGTGCATTGAGTCCCCTATACAGAATTTTATTGTTGTTAACAACCATATGATCAATAAATATGAGAGATGCCCTCTCAAAAAATAAAATAAAATAAAATTGGCAACTGCAATAAATTAAACATTAATTTTAAGCCAAAAAAAAAATAGCTCTATAAGGTTTTCATTTCAGATCGGGTTCAACCATGCTAACCCACCTTTGGACTGCCTTTCTTAAATTCTCAGTTGATCACACCTTCATCCCCCAGGGTCCATAAAACCTATTGTTAATTATAGAAATACAAAGGAGGCCCAAGTGAATGGGACACAAGTTTAAGATTTGGATACCCAATGTGGACAAAGCAGATGAAAAACCCATCACCCACCTCACAGAAAAGGGCACTTTCCAAATGCATTCCTGTGTGAGTCTGCTAAATTTTAGCTATTAGACACAACTAAATGGGTTTTGCAGTTAAACATTTTAAGATAAATAACATTTTGCTTTTTGTTCACTTGACATGATACAATCAAATACCTCCTTTTTATTAAATGCCATCAGAGCCATCATTGTAATAACCACATGATACCCCACTTGATGTACACACCATCATCTATTCCTTCTGTTGTTGGAGACCTAGACAGAGGAAGTTCCCTTGTAAGATCCCAATGTGGAATATTCTCTGGAGAAGTTCAGTGGTTCATGCCAACAGTTCAGGCTTTTTGATATTGTATGAAGACAGATGTCTCCCATTGAAAAAAGAAAGAGACCATTTAGAGTTCTATTTTCTGTTGCTGTTTTTGTTTTGTTTTTAGCTCAACTAACCAACTCTGTTCTTCTGTTTGTATAAAATAGCTCTTTATATAGTACAGCTATTATGTAAATGGTTTATTTTTATAAAGATACCAGGGGATCAGGCACCATATCAGAAAAGGGTTATGGGATAATAAAAAAATACAGGCCCAGCTACACTTCTATGGTAGTTGTTCCTATTTTGATTCCTAACACACAGCAAGAAATCTTCTGGCAGAGCCCAGTCCTGGAAGCTGGCTGGAGGAATTGAGGATATTTGGGAAAGAAGAGGAAGCTTCTAGACCCTTAGGCCTCCTCTTTTTGAAAGAACAGTAAATGATGACTCTTCTAACATGTATAATTCAGCTGTGAAGTTTGGCAATTTCTGAGTAAAATGAATAAAAAATAAGATGTGCAGTCATGTGAAATACTTTTGGTTAAGCTGTCCTGAGAATGACTAAATTCAAGATACGTATGTGAAAGAGAGAGAGAGAGAGAATTTGTGTGTGAGAGAGAGACTGTGCATTTAATATGCAATAGAGAGAGAAATGAAGCTAGTGCTCTCATGTTCCAAAGGGTGGTGGGCTAGCCATGGGGCCCTGCTGCCCCATGAGCAATTTACAACTGACTTTGTTTAAGCAGTTATGTTACCACTTTTAAATTCTCTATCAACACCCCCCTATTGCCTGTACACAGGAGACAACATTCCACTTTCCCAGTCCTGGTGTGCCACTGGCCTTCCCATATAGTACCTTATTACAGTCCTAAAACAAAGTCAGCTGGGGCAGTTAATTATTAACTCCACTTTAAGGATGAGCAACCAGACTTTGAGATGTGAAACAGTTTGTCCTTGGTCATACAGCTAACAAGAGGTCAGGCCTGGACTTTAACTCAGAGCATCCTGATTCAGAAGTCTACATTCTGTAAAATACGCTGACCGCCAAAGTGGTGGATAGAGCTTTAGTGAGAGAGAGCGCGCACGCAAGACGCAGCAAGAGAGAGAGAGAGCCACAGAGAGGCCACTTTATAGCTTTTGGCCTCAGATCTTTCTCTTCATACCTCCTCATACTTAAAAAAAATTTTCTGATCGCTATGCTGAAGTGTGCTCCTCCGAAGTTCACACATTGAAGTCCTACCACCTCAGAATGTGACTGGGTTTGGATAGGAGGGTCTTTAAGGAAGCCACTGATTTAAAATGAGGCCATGACAGTGGGCTCCAATCCGATGATTGGCATTCCTTTAAGAGGACATTCTGACACAGACAGATGCAGAAGGAGGACCCCATGAAGACACAGAGAAGATCACTGATCATCTACGAGCCAAGGAGAGAGGCCTCAGAAGAAACTAGCCTCAAGGCCACCATCATCGTGTGATAGTGAGACAATCAGTGCGAGCCGTCCAGACCACGGTTTGTTCTGGCAGCCCTTCCAGACTCACACACACCCCGACGGACTTGTACAGAGGCTGCAAGGTTGGAGGCATGTCTCATGCTGAGACTTGACAAAGCCACGTGCCCAGGTGTCCCACCAGCCAGCTGCTTCTAGCTTCAAGGGAATAGGTCGACAGGATCGAGTCCAGGCCACCCTTATTTGTATCCACAGCAGAGATGGGGGCAGGCTTCTCAGCAACATTCCCATAAACTCCTTTCGTTTTCCTCTTTGTCAAGCAGATATTTCCCAGAAAGTTGTGTTCAATATGCACTGGCTCTCTTTGGCAGAGAGGAGCCCCCGGTTTGGGAGCCGCTGAATCAGGGCCTTAACCAAACATGAAATGACAGAACCATTTCCAGTGGAGGATTAATTGAACCAACTCAAGGCAAACAACATATTTTGGCATTGCTTTTGACATATGGAAATAAAACAAACATTAGCGACCGGATTGCAGCTAACAATATGCAAAATTTTAAAAAGTACCTTTTTAACTTTGTCTGGGACCCCACTGGCTTTTCTTATAAAATCTGCCAAAGAAAAAAGGCAGAGCTGTTAATCTTGTTACACAACCAGTTAGCACATGCAAACAAGAGAAATGAAAAGTCTTTGTATTCAGAGCAGGAAACAGATATTTGACACATATATTTATTAAGGAGACTGGACTGGAAAATAGCACTGCTGTATTAATCAGAAATGGTGTAGAAAATACTTAATACAACAGAATGTGCACAGACAGCATAAGCGCCTTACAAATGGAAGCCTAAGGTCTGAGTATTTTTATTTGAAGGTTAAATTTTCAATTAATTTTTTTTTCAGCTTGTTGCCATCTCTTCCAAGCATCCCTGTTAATTGCTATAAAACAATGTCTCTCCCTGTTTGAATTCTGGACATGGAGGCCAGAAGCTGTCAGCCATTTAATGGGCATCAGAGGACTGGGACAGAATCCAAACCACTGAGTCAAAGTTGAACCAAACGTCAGACTCAAAGAAACCAACTAACTGATTGGTTAAAAACTCCTTTCTTCATTTGCTCAGTTTTTCAGAAGGTACATTGATCAGCTTTTGCCTGTCACTTAAACAGCACAAATAGAAGCTGTCTATTATTGGGATTTCCAAATCTCCCAGCTTCAGGTTTGTGGCAGACAAGGCTCTATCTGCACACTAACTTGGTGGGCGACCAGAGGAGGAGACATTTGCATTCTTCTTTAGAATGGAGCAATGTACATGTCCCGGGCTGTATATGAGCTTGTCCACTTCTCCTGCCTAACTGGCACTGGAGGGTTCTCTTCTAATTAAAGCCCTCATTGTCTGGGATGATGGAAGGAATTGAGAAAGCAACTGGATGGATAAGAATTGGGATTGGAAATAGGGTTACATCCTGAGTTGATGATAGGATGAGAATAAAGGTCTGGGGTATAAATACATTCACAAGTTTTAGCTGGAAGGCAAGTTTTGGCTTGAGAGTCAGAACTAACTTTGAGAATGATCTTAAGTTGAGAAAAAAGGAGAATAATGGCATTAAGGATAAAATGTGTAGCATTATGTTTGATTTAAATAGCAAAGTACCATAGAAAGAGCATTTTTTTTTATAAGGCAAAGTTAGTTTTGTAACCTAGCACCATCCTCTAATATTCATGTAACCTTGTATAAGTCACCTAAACTCTCTCAGCCTCAATTTCTTCATCTGTGAAATGGGAATAACGTTTACTCTGTGCCTTCTAGAAAGAATCAAGTAGATAGATTAGATCAGTTGTTCCTCCTCCTCCAAGGGGACATCAGCATTGTTAGGAGATATTTTTGATTGCCACAATTTGCGTGCAGAGTGTGACCAAAATCTAGTGGTTAGAGGTTCAGTATTCTGCTATCCACCCTACAAGCACAGGAGAAACCAACAAGAAATTATTCAGCCCAAAATGTCAATAGTGCTGATACTAAAAAACCGTGGATTAGATAAAGGCAAGCAGATGATATAGATAAGCAGCTAATAGAGAAATTTTGGACATTGATAGATTATCTATAAATATATAGATAGAATAATTGGTAGAGTAATGAGAGATTCTGACATGGGAGATTAAGCATTTTACAAATGGAAGTGATTGTTTTTTAAATCTGAAGACGGGATTAATATCATCAGGGTTAGAATGAAATAATCGATGTTGATAAAGGTGAAGTATTAGTAATGAAGAATATGCCAGCCATCAGCCAAAGTACTTTGGATTTCTATTACATTTAAGATTGGAGTTCATTCAAGTTGAAGACTAGGGTTGGCCTTAGAGTTATGGATCCAGTATCCTTAATTCCTAGTTATGGCTAAATAATATTCTGTTGTATGGATATACCACATTTTGTTGAACTATTCATCTGTTGAAGGACATCTGTGTTGTTTCTACTTTTTGGCTATAATGAATAATGCAATTATGAACTTTTATGTATAAATCTTTGTGTGGACATGTTTTCATTCCTCTTGGGTGAGTACTTGGGAGAGAATTGCTAGGTCACTTTGTAAATTTATGCTTCCCCTGGTGGGGTCCTGAGCAGCCACTGTCCCAGCCTCCTCCTCAGCAGTGTGTGGGGTACTGAGATAGCCTGAGAGCTTCCTACCACAAATTAATAGCATTCATTCCCTGGGAGATTTCCTATTAAAACTTCTGAAACTCCACCCACCTTAAAATTGAGGACAGCCTTGTAGTAGCCACCTGAAGTTGCTATTTCAGTCAGATGATTTTCTAGAATACAAAAGATATGAAAGTATCTTTAAGACTTCACAACACATGGGATTATAAAGTTATACTACTGCTATTAGCAATACAGTGTTATTCGCTTGTCATCTGTGATTTGAAATGATGGAGTTTTAAGCTCTATATGTGAGGATCAGTTAGCAGCAAAAATCGAATGCAAAGAGCCCTGACTCTGACGTTTGGCCCCATCATTTTTATTTCCCAGTTATGGGAACTTACCTAAGTGATTTGCCTTCCCAAACTTAAAATGCATCAATAGAAAGTTAATTAAAATCACCTTGAAAATAAAGAGTTTTGATCCAGATTTTGGACCTAGACCCAGGAAGATGTGACTCCTACAGGTTGGGTAGAAGATATATTCCAAGGAGCCCAAGTCATACAAAAGTTTTTATATCCTCGAGTAGACAGGCAAGAGAGACAGAATGTCAGAGGGATACATTTCATTTACTTAAGTTATGTTATATAAAGAACAGAATTGGGGGCAGTACGCATCCTGGTGGGCATCTGATGCAGAAGGAGGTTAAAAGGTAATCATTTTGCTTATCCATTAACAAGAATACAGATGTAAATTGTTTAGCCTTTAACTTGACAGATGGGGTGTTTTTTTTTTTAGTTTTTTCATGGGTGGTCATTTTGAGACTCCTAAAGTTAATGAAACCCTCAATCCTTAGGCCTTAGAAATCTTTTTTGGTGGTCCCTAGGATAGTGGTTAGCTTTTATCCCACAATTGCTTCATGTGAAAACAGAGCCACCAACCTCATCCCTCAGGGTTTCCATAGGATTAAACAAATTGGCAGCATATTTAATCCAGTCCTGTGGTTAAATTACCTGACCCTAATTTTAATCTAGAAAGGTTGTATATCTCAAGTAAACCCCAAAGAACCAAGGTATGTGGCAAGGTAGGCTGCCTGAGATTCTGAGGCCAATGTCAGGACGTGAGCAGGGGACTTCCCACACAAAGCAGTTCTCCTACCCCAGCTGAGTGTCCTGCAACTTAATCTAATTCTGATACTATCTTCCTAGAGAATCAGATCTCACAGATTAAGGGGCTCAGTCTTACAAGAACCCCAACTCTCACCCCTGCTTCAGATGCCAGTCACAAGCCCGGGTTGTCAACTGTGCTTCTGAACTGCTAGCTACTGACTGGGTGTTCCACTGACCCCCGACCTGCCCAGGATCTGATTAATTTGCTAAAGCGGCTCGCAGAACTCAGAGAAACATTTTACTTACCAAATTACGGGTTTATCATAACAGATATGACTCAGGAATGGTCAGATGGAAGAGACGCAGAAGGCCAGGTATGTGGGAAGGAGTGTAAGCATCCATACCCTCCCCGGCAAGCCACCCTTCCTAATCTCCAACCCACACCATTTTGTGTTTTTATAGAAGCTTCATCACACAGGTGTCACTGATTAAATCATTGGCCACAGGTGATTGAGCTCAACTTTCAGCCCCTCTCCCTCCCCAGAGGTCAGGAGTGGCTTCCCTTGGCCACCAGCTCCTGGCTGCCAATAACCTGCTCACCCCAGCCCTGGCTTTAGGATTATTCCACAAGTCACCTCACTAACGTAACTCAGGTATGGCTGAAAGGGGATTGTTATGAATCACAAGACACCCATTTAACCTTTGTGGCTCTGAGGATCTGGTAGAAGTGAAGGACAGAGGACAAAATACTGTAACAAAAGATGCTCACATTGCCTTTCTGCCTTGGGAATTTCCAAGGGACTGGGGAGCTATGTGCCAGAAATACAACAAAGACAAATATACATTTCTTATTATAAATCACAGTATCACACTGCCTCAATTTTATTCACTTACTCATTTATTTCCCTTGGGATTTATTTGTACAGAATTTTGGGTATGTCTTAAATAGCAATAAAAAATAATAGTACAACACACTGATAAGGTCCTTTTGAAAGGTGCGTTCATATCAGTATCATTTACATTATTAAACCTGTGGTTCTAGCTGCTGGTTGCTCATTAGAATCACGTGAAGATTATTCAGTACTGCTCAGTGCCTGGGCACCACCCTGAGAGTTCAGAACCACCACAAGGAACTGAGGAATAACACAGAGGCTGCTGGAGGAGCTAAGGGCAGGCTGCCCCCAAATGGGCGACTTTGGCATGTAGATAATGTTAGAGTTGAAAACAGTCAAGACCCAAAAGACTCAGACTTAAACTTTGACCTCCCCCAACCAACTGCATAAAAAGAATTCAGATGAAGGATATGCTCCAGGAAGAGAGCTATTATCATGGGTAATTACAGTATAATGTGACCTAGGTGTGGTGGACAAGGAGGGATTTAGCTAAGTCCGTTCAATTTTCCTTCTAGGCCCCATTGTTTCCGCATAGCCCAGCAAACATTTGTTTATCACACATTCACTTTTTCATATTCCTGTGAATTGCTTCCCTATCCTTTGAAATCCCAGATGCCTACCTCATTTTCCTTAGTTCAGGATATTTATATCTCCATTGTCCCTGTCTTTGGAATCTCATGTCTGTGGATTCCCTATATGTAGATCATTAAACTGTGGTTTTCCTCCTGATAATGTCTCCTGTCAATCTGATACTTAGACCAGCTAGAAGACCCTTGGAGAGTAGAGGAAAATTCTTCCTTCCCAACACAGCTGTCTTGCCAATGGGTTTCAGCCCGGGTAAGTTTTTTATGGATTCAACGTGACCAAAGAAATTGACAGCACGTTCTTGGGGTGAAAGGGTTATACCCAACTTTATTTCCAGGCGGTAGGTCAGTCACTAGAATCCCATTCATTCAGAACAAGTCTGCATGCAGCAAGCCGGTCTCTGCCTCTGGGCCCCTCTGCCTGCACAGTCGTCCAGCACCACCGTCCTCTGGGCCTCTGTCCTCAGCACTGCCACCACTCCAGCCTCTGCTCAACTCTCATGCAGCCTTCCAGCCCTGCCACAGTGTCGTGCCCAGAGCACTGGCAGGAGCTCTTTATATAGTCAACAGCCATGTATTGCCCACAGGTGTGCAGTGAACTAGTCAACCAGGGCCAGATGAGAATCCTGGCCACAGGAACTCTCATTTTATCCACAACAACCTTCCTGACTGTTCAGTTGTGAAGCTGGAAGAGAAGTTACCCTCAGTCAGACAGCTAAGTTCTGATGCCATTAGGATTTGGCAACCCAGGTCTCCGGAGTCACTCCAGTGCTCTATTTCCTAGTCTGTATCTTCTAGGAAGAAAATTCAAGTTGAATTTAACTAAAATGAACTTCAATGGATGAAAGTCCCGGAGTAGAGAAAGGACAATTTGAGTCCTTGGCAAAAACATACACAATGAGGGGCAAAAATACACTCACCTGGAACAAGTCCACAGGAGGGCCTCATCTTGCCTTGCATATGCCAAAACCAGGGCCAGGTTTGTTATAAAACTGCTTACTGTGAAGAAGTTCAATGAGGAGTAGAGATTCTAAAGGGATAGATAAATCTATAAGCGGGACTACTGAGTTGGGTAGACGCCCAGCTCAGCAGTTCAGAGCCAAAAACAGAAAGGCTTTGTGAGCAGGTGGGTGCCTTTATTACGGTAATCAACTCTGGGCCCAAGAAGCAATGAGGTCACCGGGGTTTCTGGGATGTTCTGATGGAAGTGAGCCTGCCAGGTGAGCACAGAAATATGTAACTGAAGGACAGCCACTGGGGCGACCAACTTAGGGCCTCTCTGCACCCAAGGTCTGAGAGAGGTTTAGACAACATGAGAAGAGTGGATTGATGGGGAAAATGCTGAACTGGAAGAAATTCGCTTGAAGAATCACAAAATTTGAGAATAAAGTGGGAGTTCAAGTTCATGAAGCAAGGCTCTCGCTTCATAGATTAAAGTAAATGAAGCCCAGAGAAGGCCAGTGACTTGCTTCAAAGCCTTAGAGCTAAGCAGACGGCAGATACAAGCCTCCCTGCCTGGTGGTTTTTCCACCACTAAAAACTAAACAAACCTGAAAACATGGGCAAAACACAGACAAACTTCAAGAAGAGATTTGGAGGTGGGCAGGGGACATTACTGCCTGCACTGTCCCTGTCTGTTCTGTGTCTCCATTCTCTCCTCAAGCCCCCTCCACTCTACCTGTGCAGTGACCTGCCACTTTGACTTCTACTCTGTTAGGGGGATGTGGGGAAGTTGGGGTTCCTATGGCCAGGATCCTCACTGAACTTAAACCACTTGGTGATGTAACTGGCCTGTTGCTAGGCTACTGCTTCCACACCCTTAGGCAAGAAGCTATTATTGCTTTATATAGAGAGCTCAGCCCTGGTGCTCTGGGCGGAGGCAGAGACGCTAATGCTCGACCTACCTTGGGGAGAACAAGCCGGGTAATAAACCCTTTCACCCCAAGAACATTCTACAGTCATTTCTTGAATGTCACATTGAATCCATAGTGAACTTGCCTGGGCTGAAACTCATTGGCAAGACAGAGGATTAAGAGAACACCATGGAAATCTGGATGCTGATTCTGATTTTGCTGGGTGTCTTGGAGTAAGTCACTTCACCTGTCTGGGTCTCAGGTTCTCCTTAAGTGGAATGATGAGCATGAGAAGATAATGCTAATGATACACTGCCTGCTCTACTCTCTAAACCAGGAACTGGCAAACCATGGCCAGTTCCAGCCTATCACTTGTTTTGTACATAAAGTTTTATTGGAACACAACCACATCCAATCATTAATGGCAGGGCTATGGATGCATTCACATAATAATGGCAGAGTTGAGTAGCTGCAGAAAGACCACCATATGGCCTACCAAGCTGAAAATATTTACTAGATGGCCCTTTATGGAAAAGATTACAGATCCCTAAAAAATAATGCATACACTCTCCACTTACTACCTGTGAGATACACACACACACACACCCCTATACCATATACTTATATATTTCCTGGTCCAGAAAATTTTTTGCTTATATGTTTTTTTTTGGTAGGAAAATATTTCAAACATACAACTAAACACAGAAACAAATTAAATTAATGATCTTCACATC